TGTCAGCTTTTTGGGTCCATTTATGGCTTTACTTCCATATTAACAGACGTCTATTATAATTTCTTTCATTTTACTTGCTTTAACAACCCACCTCTCCATTTCTCAAGATGTAGACTAAAAATAATATTCAAATTTTTATATATACATTCACCACCACATACTTTAAGCAGTATCTACAACTGTATCCTATAACTTTTAAAATTTCTTGTCATTTATTAAGAAATAAGTTAAATTGTGCTTTATTTCTAGGTATGCAGAAACTTGAGAAAATGTGCTATCTGGGTGGAACCATGTAAAATTTTCTCAGGCAAAGAAAAAACTCCAGAGGCTGGAGATGGCTCAGCAGTTAAGAGCATTTACTGCTCTTGGAGAAGACTCCTGTCCAGTTCCTGTCCTGTACCACCTATAAACTGTTGAGGTGGTGTTGAAAAGATGGGGGCAGAATTAGCAATTTGTGGGTAGCCTGGGGTTGTTGTTTACAGATCAGTCTTTACATTAACATTGGTAGGCACTCAGTTCAATTCCTGGTATGCAAAGGAAAAGGGAGTAAGGCTAATTACTAGTGCTAGGTATCCCTAGGCCAGGGCCACACACCTTTTCCACAATTTCAGTCACTGCCACACCTGGTCTGGGTATATCCCATGACCAAATTACATGACTTAAGTCAGTATGCTACTCTGTTACATAACAAAACCACCATCAAGAACTGATGCTAATTCAGTAATCATCCTTTAAATTTGGCCCAGGTACTACAGGTATGTTAGGTACTGGGTAGTAAGTAGTTATGGAAGTTTTACTTGTAAATTAGATACATCAATTGAATAGTTAAGTGCAGAGATTTGCTTATACATAGATTAAGGCATTCTTGAGGTCAACTGTCATCTATTTGTGGAAGCTGTGATTAGGCAGCCAAATGAAAACATTCTGGAAAGATAGCTTAGCAGCTAAGAGCATTTCCCACTCTTATAATTTGTGTTTGGTTCCCAGTGTCCATATGGAAGCTCACAACCACCTGCACCTCTAGTTTCAGAGGATCTGACCATCTTTTCTGACCACATGCATGCATGAGGTCACACACACAATTTCAAAAATTTAAAGGAAACACATGAATGCAAAAACTAGAGATAGTGTGTTTAGGATTTCTCTTTTAAATGGGATCTGGGTGACCCAATTTGGACTCAAGCTCTTAATGCTTTAGCCTTCTCTCCTGATCCAAATGATAAAACATTATGTCAATGCTAATTAGTCTGGTCCTACTACTAAATAACAAACCCTGTCAGATTTGAGCTAGTGTCTTATATTGTTACTTGATTAAAGATCAGAATGGAATAAGCTACACCTGTCTAGAGAAACAAATAGGGTCTGATATAATCCTAACTGTAATAACATAGCTTTGATGCATAAATCCTGAACTTCTTTGACTTTTCAATTCACCTATCAGTGTGAAGAATATTTCTCCCCACATTTTTTTAAACTTACCTTTAGAGGGCCATAATCATCACCTCACTTGAACATTACTGTATTTGCAAAGCTCAAAAGGTGCTTAATAAACGCATAAAAATCATTTACGTGAAACACAAGTAGAACTTGATAGTTTTCTTTAGTATAGCTTGCTAATGACAACCAAAATTCAAGACTGCTCAAATTTTTAGAAATGACTCCTGATAGCCAATATGGCTTCTCAGAGGAGCTAAACAGATAAGCTCAAAAAGTTTGAATGACAGAAACAAATTCTTCAAATCAATATTGTGTAAGGATATAGCTCCTTTAACATGTTTTTAATTAATACTTAACTTATATGCCTTGAATTGTTGAGGACTGTAAAATGAGCTCCTAATCCAATGTACAAAAAAATTCCAACATATTCTAATAGTACCTTTTCCCAAATGTTAAGATTTAAGCTTTCATCATAATACAGACAGTAATTTTTAAAGACCAACACGAGGCTTCATTAAGTATCAAGTGTTTCATATTAATTTTATGTTCCAAATGATTCCTACATCAGATTTAGAATTATGAAGTTAGCCAGTCCAATGGATAGATACACTAACAGTGAGAACTGAGGCCTAACAGCCATGTGAGATGAAGTATCTTCTATAACCATTATCAACCCTTCAAGAAAATGCAGCCCTGGATACTTGACAGTACAAGATCTTATATCAGAACCAACTGGAGAAGTCACACATTGCTTGATTGGTATGTAAATAGGATCCAACAAAATTGTTGTCTGAAACTGCTAAATCTTGGAGTGATATGGTGACAAAGACACACAAAGATCATCCATTATTTCTTGTGGAATAAGCAAAGTGCTATTTCAAACCATCTTGACTAGAAATATTAAACATTTGTTAATACTGTTAAGAAAAATCTTAAAAAAAAAAAAAACCCTTGACTCAACTACTAAAATCTTCATAACAAAAAGGGGATGGGGAGAATAAATCAGAATACACAATATGAATATTCACTAGAACAAAGCCTAAAGTGGTATTTTAAATAATTACATTCAAAATATAGTAAGAGACACCTCTGTGGATCTTATTTTTCTTTCACTGAGTAAAATACAGGTATATTGGTCAGGTTTTTCTCCCCCCCCCCCCACCAATCTCACAATGCTGTTCACATTTATGCCATCTTTTTGTTATTTGGCTTACCTAACTAATATTAAAGGAGATTTAGGGCTGTTCACCCATACACAACCTGGGTGAACAGGAAGACATGAAGGAAAGGTAGGGCCCATATCAAAGTTTCATAATCTTGAATTCAAGGAGGAAGAGGGATGAAGGAGGGGAGAAAATACAAATCATGTAACATACTGCAGTGGCATGGTATAAAAATGGGACATACATGAAACTGAGGTGTGAAGCAGAAAAACTGCCCCACATTCTTTTTTCTCTTTGATGCTGTTTCCAGTTTCTGGGATGAGACACCCTCTCAGAAGATGGGACTGAGACCACAAGAGGTCAGAACTGAAGTGGGATGGAACTGGTCTAAGTTGCCTGCTGCCCACCTGTTGAGTTTTTTTTAAATCAAGGTCTGAAATAGTCCTGAGTATACCTGAACTATTTTAATGAGTTTTAAATTAGGTCTTAAAGAAATAGAAAACAGTATGGGTCACAGTACACAACAACTTACAGTTGCAGACTGTAAAACTCAGCACAATGTGTTTCATGACATTGACAGACAGATTACTACCAGAACATCACATAAGTTTATTTCAGATGTAACAGCAACGTTAAAATTGACAAGTTTAATTCTTAACTGCACCAAGTAAACGTAGCCACTTAAGTATCTTAAAGATATTCCCTCCAAAAACTGAGGGAGTTTTTCTTTTCCACCACCACACACCATGCTTCCCAATAGTTCTCTTTTTGGAGGATTTTCAATTAATGAGTGACCTACTTTGGAGACACTTAGGAACTCCTTTCCCCAGATGAAAACTAATCTTGACAAATTATATATTGCATAGATTTCTATACAGATTCTTTACTTTAGAACCTAAATTCAAATAGCATACAGAGTAATTTTAACCTGTTTACCCCAGTAAAAATTATCTGTCCTGAAAAATAATGGAGATCTTCCAATCTTCCAGTTAACAGAATTACTCTTTTACCTCAAAGAACACAAAGAGGAAAAAAAAAAAAAAAAAAAAAAAAAAAAAAAAAAAACAAAACAAACCCAAACCAAAACCCACAAACTCATAATGGGATATTACTTTAGTATTTCCTGACTCACAGGCATATAAACTAGTCCAAGTTTCTGCCTCTTTCACATCTTCCCCTTATGTAAGTGGATGGAATTATTTAATGCAACTTTGATACAGGACAATTGACCCTTTACATACAATTAAACTTTAGGTTAAATCACTGACTAGTGTGAAAAAGGAAACAATAATAGGGAGCCTACACACTCAATTCAAACTTTATTATTTGTTCCTCCTCTTTAAATAACATGTACTTAATTGTTGTGAGGCAGCTATTCGGTTTCAATAACCACATTTAGGGATACATTCATAGGACTACTCAGATAGTCCAAGTGAAATGGTTATAGAAATAGAGGCAGTGTCATCTCAGAAAACTCTTATATATCAAAATCTATTTTGCTATCTGGAAGTTTACAAAATGGCTGATTTCTTCAAACTAATTATGCTCTATCATTTATGCCCTCTTCTCTTGGCGACAGCAAGCTGAAGCTTATCCATGGAAGTAAAGGTGCTTAACACTAAACTTTTCTTCTGAGCTTAGATTTGGACTGTCTAGAAAAACTGATACCCAAGAAACAAGGATGGTATTTCTACAATTTCACTACCCTATGCACCCACCCACCCACCTACCCATCCATCCATCCATCTATCCATCCATCCATCCATCAACCACACCCTTGTCTGTATTTTCTTGGCACTCAAGACTACTGAAGTCCACTTAATGTACTTTCACATTCTCAAAACACAATGAAACAAAAAACTTAAGTTATAAAGTGTGCACAAGCATCTTTTAACCTATTTGGAAATAAGACTTTCATACCACAATTTTCCGAAGAGGATGTATCAAACTTCCTTTTAACGTCAAATGAGAGGAAACATACTCTGTTCTATTTTAAAGTCTAGTAAGAACATTTCTTGAGCCACTGATGACTACTGACAATCTAAGAAATGCCATATATTTTGAGATGAGGCTATGTGAGTAAAATATGAGTATCTCATGTCTGCACATACAGTTCTCAACCCATCAGAGCTACTCCCAATGTGCCTAAAAATGATCTGGCCTTAACCAAACCTGTCACTTGGAGGTCACAGTGATATCTGTATTAACACTTCATACTTCTATTGTTCAGAGAATAGAAGGAATTTGTCAATTCCTCGTATTCCAAATTTTTAAACTCAACATCGTAGGCACAGAGTGTAAGCAAATCTGGGATGTTCTCCAACAGATAAGCAATAGCATAACAATGTTATTTTCAAAAATACTGTTTAGAAATTCTTTCATATATTATCAAACGCTCAATGTCCACAGTTCTAACAATCTGTATTAGTTGACATTAGATAACACTTAATGTGTTACACGTTCATCTAAGCTTTTTTATGTAATTTTGTAGGTCCAAGAGAAAACACTTGCTTCGGATTTATTTAGGGGTATTGGCTTGCAAGGATATAACTCCACTTAAGGTTATACTATTATTGGGCTTACTGAAAATCAAGAAAAAAAAATATCAATTATAACAATCTTCTTTAGATCAGTTAAATGCCATATCTCTAGCTGGGATATTAAAACAGTTAATTTCACCAGCTCATACTCTACCAGTTAAAATGCCTCCAGCAACAAGATTAACAGCAGGAAGGAAAACCCAAACCAAAAAACAAAAAAAAAACCACCTGCTAACAAGCAACCCACTCATCAGCTAAATAACAATTTAACTGAAATACTTTGACCAAAGTCTAATACTAACTACACAAACAGCCCCAGCAATCAGCAAATAGAGAGGAAAAACTGCTTTAAAACCCTAAACTTAGTATTTTCTCCAAGGATAACAATGGTCCAACTCCTGAGAGTTCTCAAAGGACTAAAGATAAGTGAAGGCAATGCCAGGGATTAGCATCCCAGATAGTCTTTAAAACTCAAAGTACCACAAATACACAAAGCTTGTCTATGAATCAGAGAAAAAGATATTGCTGCGGCTTCTTTTGAAATAATATTGTAGGCTCTGCCCTTCAATGTGAAAGCAGCATGTTAAAAAAAAAAAAATTGAAATCATCTGATACCCAATTTGAGGGGACATCTTAACTGTGAAACTATAAAGATCTATCTTCTCCTTTTTTCAACCCAACCACCTCACAAAAATAAGAGAACTGAAACAATCCAAACATGATCATTTTAAAGAGTCCTTGAAAGTATTACAAACTTTAAGAGGAAAGAAAGGAGGAATATCAAGGGAGAAAAGCTGAAGAAAAGGGGGAGGGGAACCAATGGGTCTTTCTTTTATTTGGCGACAAGCAAGTGCAAGAAAGTTCTTTTGTAATTTGTTCAGTTGTCTGTCTTTTGTGTCTCTGCATTATGACCAGATGGGACTTTGAGGTTTTTCTGAAGCACATGAGCATCTGCAGGCTCTATCCTCTTATAGTAGTTCTTCTTCGTCTCAATAATCTCAAAGCCAAACTTCCTGTAGAAGTCAATCGCTGACTCATTGCTGATCTGGACATGCCTGAGACATAGATACATATATAAGACAGTTTCATCAACTTTCAAGTCTTAACCACACATAGCTTCAAACTGGTGAGAGGTGGATTACAGACATTTCGTATATTTTCTTTACAATGACCAATATTTAATAAAGATTAGTCAATTTATTATCAGTGAATCTGACAATTTTACACTTTTAACCTAATTTCCCCACTTGCAAGGCAGATGACTAAGATTAGGGGGGAATCAGTGCTTATTCTTATATTTAACAAAGGTTAAACTATCACCAGGCTCAGTCTACCAGATGATCAGAATGTCTGACCCAGCACTGCCACCAGGCAGCTCACAACCACCTGTAACTTCAGTTGCAGAGATTGCTGATGCCACTGGCCTTCTTGGTTACCTGTAATCTCGTGCAAATGCCCCTCCCCAAAAATATACACACTAAAAACAAAACAACAAAAACACACTTCAGTCTTATAAATACATCTTCCCCAACTTCTTTCATTACTCTTCAGAACAAGACACTGCATAATTTAATCTCTCCCAATATGAATATGAAAACAATCTGCTGTGATTTTTATCTTAGCTCTTTGTTAGTAGATTTTTTTTTGGGGGGTCACTCCCTGGCTGGCCTAAAATTCAGGAGGCCTCTGCCTCCTGAGTGGAAGTACTAGGATTAGAGACATAAGCCATCATGTCAAGCTGTCTTGGCTCTTTATAACTGTGACCTTTCTGAGACTAAAGTATAATCTCAACTAGGTTACCTCTAACTTTGATTATTAAACTCTATTACAAATGAGCATTTATTGATAACCTTGACTAAAATATATTAACTATTACTGGTATTAATAATTTTAAATTTCTAAATACTCGGATTGCAATCTTGGCTTTATTTTAGGTTCCTTACATATAATTAGAACCAAATACAACAAAAATAGTTCTTCATAATTTTCCACCCACAATTCACCAACTTCAAATTAAATATAAAGTTGTTTAAAAACTTCTGTATCATTTTCTTTTTTCTAGGCATCTTAAATAAATTAAGACACTTTAAAGAACATGGGAGGAAAGGAAAAGATCATCTGTAAATAGTATGCCCTTTTATATGGATTTGTGACATTTTAAATAAACACACTCAATTTTTTTCCTAAAATTTATTTTATGGGCATGCAGATTTCTGTCTACAAATATACCCATGTACCACTTATGTATCAGGAGGGTGCAGGATATGGAACTAGGGTTCTCCGGAAGAACAGTCAATGCTCTCATCACACAAGGCCTCTATTATATCCCTTTTCTATCTCTATGGATAGCAAGGGACAAGCATACCTTCATGGTGTTTTCAATCAAATATACAGTAAGTGGGTAGATCTCAAAAGTTTCTGATAGGGATTTAGACAAATAATTTATCAGACACTTAGATAAACATTAGGTACTTACAGATAGATGTTGTCAAAAGTGCCATCTTTCTCACAGATGTTTAGGACATGATTTAGCATTTTAGTTCCTATTAAGACAAACAACAAATAACTTTACAAATCAACCTTGAAATTTGACATCTACTTGCCATCTTTACTGACACAGAATTAGATGACAACTAGACATTATTTCCCCAAATGTTGTTCTCACTATGTAAATTACATGTTTAAAACCATTAGAAGAGGACTTTTTTGGAGGCAGGGTTTCTCTCTGTGTAACAGTACTAGATGTCCTGGAACTCACTCACATCTGCCTACCTCTGCCTCCCAAGTGCTGGGATTAAAGGGTTGATGCCACCACTACCCAGTGATGACTTTTTTTATTACAAATAATTCCAGGCTAATAAATGTGAACAAATTTATGGGACTTTCAAATGAATACTAAGCAATAGTTTTCATAATTCAGTATTCCCTTTCCAGTTTCTTTCCCCCCCCCCTTTTTTTTTGAGACAGGATTTCACTGTTTAGGTCTGGATGATATCACACTCAAAGATTGAAAGATCCTATCTTTAAAGGCATGCTCCACCAACTCCACCACATAATTTTTACCTATTCCTAGTCTTCGGTAAGGCGCAAGGCATCCTAGCGTCATGATGTAAAGTCTCTTTTGATTCTGTGAATGATCCACTCTGCAGCACACTGCACCTACAGCTATGTCATTGAAATATGCTACCACAGAAAATACAAAGATGTAAATGTCAACAATTTATTAATCAACTCCTTTTAAATACAAAAGTTATAGGCATCAGATTTTAACTACCTACTCTTACAAGAATATCAATGCCTCAAGATTTATATATCTTCTGAGGAAGGTCAAGCTTCCTCAGTAATAGTTAAATTAATGATAAACACACAGGTTCACAGTAAATAACAGAAAACAGTCTTGGAGCCAGGGAGATAGATGGCTCAGCAGATAAAGGTGCTTGACACCAAGCCTCAAAACTTAAGCCAACTGTTAGAATTTACAATGGTGGAAGATTAAAACCAAACCCCTTAAGTTGTACTCTTGTATCCCCTATGAACACACACACACACACACACTTTATTTTTTTCTTCCCCGAGACAGGGCTTTTCTCTGTGTAGCTTTTGAATCCTGTCCTGGCATTTGCTCTGTAAACAAGGCTAACCTCGAAGTCACAGAGATCCACCAGCTTCTGCCTCCCATGCGCTGGATTAAAAGCATTTGCCACTGCCACCTGGCTGCCCAAACTTTTTTTTTAAAAAAGACATTTAGTATTTGCTTTTAAAAGTCAAATATTAAATATTGATCTTTCTCAAAAATCTGTAACATTTCAACTTCCTCTGCTTATAAAATAAGGAGCCTGTATTATTTGCTCTAATATTAACATAGTTTAAGAATACAGATTTTAAAAAGGAGAAAAAAAAAAAAAAAAAAAAAAACGTACCAAGTTTTGCTAGCTCGCCAACCTCTAGCACATCCTTGTAGAATTTATCATTATAACTGACTGGAAAGATGACCTGGTTCAGTCTCTTCAATTGTTTGATATTGTGTGGTGTCACATCTCCCAGCTCGATCCGGCTACTGGAACAAACCAAAATGTACTCAATAAAAGACCATTAACTTCATTTGCTAATATTAAAAGGGTACCAGTCATTTTTGCATCACTGACAAATTCAGCCCTTTTTTGTAATGACTTCATATTCTTAAAACACTGTCACTTACAAGCAAAATGTTCAAATTTTTACTTATAGCTTTTATACAACTGTATACATTTAGGGACAAATAAGGCACACATTAACCAAGAAGGTAAGAATATTATCCTTAGCAAATGGTATTCAGATACATGCAGATGTAAATTGCTTCACTATTTCCTTTTTTCCCCCCCTAAGATTTATTCATTATGTATACACCATTCTGCCTCCATGTATGCCTGCAGGCCAGAAGAGGGCACCAGACCTCATTATAGACTGTTGTGAATAACCATCTTGTTGCTGAGATTTGAACTCAGGACCTCTAGAAGAGCAGTTAGTGCTCTTAACCTCTGGGCCATCTTAACAGCCCGCTTCATTATTTCTTGAGGACAACCTAGCATTAAATATTGAGAAATCTGCCCATCTCCTTGCCTGTGTAAGCAGAAAATAAGTCATCCATAAAAAATAATTTGTACTTATTTGTTGAGAACTTTGATTAAGAAACAATATCACAGTTATAGAAGTGACTGATAATAAGCCAGACAATGGTGGCACACATCTCTGTGAGTTTGAGGTCAGCCTTATCTTCAAAGAGAGTTCCAGGACAGTCTCCAAACCGACAGAGAAACCCTATCTTGAAAAACCAAAAAAAAAAAAAAAAAAAGTGATTTTTAAGAATTCATATTCCAGGACACCTCACTGTTTCAGCATGAGAATTTCAGAAAACAGAACAAGTTTGAAAAATATCAAGTTTGAAAATTACCTGTGAATAATGGCAACAGCAGCATTTGAAGAAAACACATCAAAGTAAATCATTCTATGGGTATGAGGGATTAAGAGAGCTCAAGATCAACTGGTGATGAAACTGTTTTGTCTTGAAAAGTGGTCCATAATATCACCTTTCCTAACTCAAATTAAGTTTTACTACATACTAAAAATAATCCTGGTAAGGCAAATCCTGCTGGAAATACACACAACAGTTCATTCTTAACACTAGTAGCACTATCAGCAGACATTTGAATACATCTTGGTAGGCAAAATTTCCTGTCCTGCCCATTCCTGCAGCTGTTCAGTCCCAAATAGACACACAGAGGCTTATATTAATTATAAACTGGCCAATGGCTCAGGCTTCATATTGGCTAGCTCTCTTTTAATTATTAACCCATTTCTATTCATCTGTGTATCTCCAGATGGTCTTGGCTTACCGGTGATGCCTGGACCTCTTGCCCCCTTGGCAACTACATGGCGTATCACCTGAGACTCCCTCTCTGCATTCCTCTCCCCAGTATTCTCCTAGTCTGGTAGCCCCATCTATCCTCCCTGCCTGTCCATTGGCTGAAACAGCTATATTCATCAACTAATAAGAGAAACCTAAACATAATAATTTCACAGTATACAGGAGGATATCCCCCATCATATCTTTTTGTGTGATGGAGATCAAGCTCAGGACCTCTTGCATGCTAGGTAAGCACTCTTTCAGAAGCTACAACCACAACCCTATTTGCCTTCTTTGTTTAAGGCTAGTTTTTATTTATGTTTATGAGTATTTGCCTATATAAATGCATATATATTTGTGCCTCATGTCCATGGAGGTGTCAGATCACTGAAACTGCCATGTGGGTACTGGAAACCAAGAGTAGTTAGGTGACCTTAACTGCTAAACCTCTTCTGATCTCCACACATGTCATGCGTGCAGATAAACGAAAGCAAAACACAAAACTTTTTTGAAAATTAGTAAAAAGTATAAATTTTATGTTTCAAAGACATACAACTAGTACATTAATTCACCTTTGGAACCGTCAGCCCCATCACATCCAAAGGCAATGACACAATCTTTTTTCCTATCTCCAGCCATCAATGAATCTACTTTCTCTTTCTATAGGTATTTGCCTTTTCTGAACAAAAGACCACAAATTCAAGGGCTTAAAGAAAAGTAATGTGTATATTTATTGTTCAGGTGGGTAGAAATCGGAGAATAGGCTCATAGCCTCTAGGCTCTAGGAAAGAATCCTTTCTCATCTTTTTTTTTTAGCTTCTCACAGCACTAGGCATTTCTTGGCTTTGAACAATCTAGCTACATAATCTTTGCTCCTTTGCTACAGGTCTGAACCTGCCCTCTCAGATGCAACTAGTCACATGGCACAGGATTAACTCTAATCTAAACAACCTCTTAATTTTATTACCCCTCCAAACTCCTGTTTCTAAATAAAGGCTATATGTTAAAATTATATGTAGGCATGGATATTTGGTGGGGACTATTTAAATTACCATACCTACACCAAAACCTTGATACTATGTTCAGTGAGAACCATTTTGAACATTTGAAAATAAAATGTATAACTGATAATTGTGTTACTTTTAAACCGTAAAGTCTGAAATTACTGTTAAACTGATAATATAAAATTAATGCTAGGGTGTCTACCAAGGTATCCACACCACTTATATATTAGGACATTTTGTGGTTTTCTATACCCTTGATAACAATTTTTATTGATTTAGGATTGATCCTACTCATCAGAGTAAGATGATGGTTCATCTGCACTATTTTTACTGCTTGAAATACTAACTAAAAGGAAGCAATACTGTTGAGATCAGGTGTATCCTGTACTAAGTGACTCTATATTGTGTGAAACAGTGATTTTTCAAGCTACCTCTTGTCTCGAGGAGTTCCATTCTGAGAGAAAAGGATGACTACATCCCCCAGGGAAACTCTAAAACCACACAACCTGTAAGGCACTACCTACCTATCACAAACTGGGAGTAGAAAGGGAATCTCCCTATAAATTTATTGAGGTGTATTGAAACTGCAGGGGAATTAACTAGGGATGAATAGGCACACCAGAGGAAAGGATGTCATTTCCTTCCCTAAGCCCCATAAAGTAATGGACACCCAACACTGCAGTGCGCACGTGTGTATTTGGATCAACAAGCAGAATTCCAGAGTGTCCCTGGAGCTTTGGTTTGGTTTGGTTCCCCTGCCTACTTAACCACCTTTCTGTCCACATTTTCACATTTCCTGCGTCAAACCCTGCTTCCTTCTACCTTGAAGCTTGCTAAACAGACCCCAGCAGCAAGTTCCTGGTTCAGTTTGCTATTACCATCAATACAGTTGCTTAGCCCATTTCTGAAACCTGAACTTTGCTCTAGCCTCTCTAACTTATGTTCATTATGTAAACACCATCATAAAGATATATGGGCATATCTGCTATAAGCTATGTAATATAAATCAACATTGACAACTTAGTTGGGAATTAAAGAACTTATATTAGTCCGGCTTGATGGCACACATCTTTAATTCCAGCACATGGGAAGCAGAAGCCAGCAATTCCAGGATAGCCATAGTCCAGGATAGACCATCACAAAAAACAAGTAAACCATCAAACCTCTTGAATTCACTTTAGCTGGACTATTTGACATTGTGAAAAGGCAGAAATATGTTCATCTATATATCTACTATGTTTTCAAAACAAAAACCTTCAAATCTTCACTTTTCCAACTCCAATTGTTAAGTCTGTGTTTGGTGAATATTTGTGCAACAAATACTATTTTATACACACACACACACACACACACACACACACACACACACACACACACACCTTGTATGGCTATTTGTAATAGAAATTAAACCCAAAGTGCTTCCACTAAACCTTCATCCTCAAAACTTTGAAACATATTTACTAGCAATATTCTGAGACACCACAAGATGGAGGTATGACTCCATAAGAAAATGACGACCCCCCCCCCCAAGTCTGACTTAGACACACAGCAAAGATAAAATGCAGAAAAACTCCCTATACTTGCTTATTCGTTCAAAGGGCACAACATATCTTGGCACACAAAATTTTAACAAGTCAGTCATTTTTTGTTCAGTATTTCATGTTGAAAGTGCTTTAGAATTCACTGGGCCCAACCCTCTTCCCTTCACAGAGATAAAATCAAAGCTCCAACAGAGACTATGCTTGTAGTGAGGAGCTATAAAGCTAGAATCAGGCATTTCTAAGAATTTCCATTATAGTAAGACCAGGCCTACCATTCTTCCTTGAAGGAATCATCTTTATCCTTAAGGCTAAAGAGAAGGATGTGATATGCTCTGCTAAGGGTTCACTCGCATCAATTTCAAACAGAAGTCAAAGTATGACTAAGATCAGTTAAAAAAAATTCAAGACATTAAAGTAGATTTTTTTTTAAATCCTGACTAGTAAGAATCTTAAACTAAACCCTTTCCTTCAAAGTCACATCTTAAATACTATGGTGGTTTGAACAAGTATGGTCCACATAGACTCATGTGTTCTATTGTTTTGCTCACAGGGAATGCCACTATTAGGTGTGGTCTTACAGAGTAGTAGTAGCCTAGTTAGAAGTGTGTCATTGTGGAAGCTGGCTTTGAGGTTTTATAAGCTCAAACCTGGATAGTGAGACACAGACTCCTTATACTGCAGATCAAGATGTAGAACTCTCAGCTCCTTCTCCAGCACCATGTCTGTAGGCATGCCACATGGTAATGGACTAAACCTCAATTAAATGTTTTCCTTTATAGGAGCTGCCATAGTCATGGTCTCTTTACAGCAATAGAAACACTAACTGCTTTTCTTTACTGAAATTTCTACCTCATATATTACTATTTGTCCTCCCCACTCCCAATCCCCTTAAAGACAGGGTTTCGTGTAGCCCAAGTTGGACCAGAACTTTTTTTTTTTTTTTTGCAGCTGAGTATGACCCAGAACTCTCAAACCTCTTTAAGTGCACCACCAAGTCCTGACTAGGCATTCACTTTTATAATACACAATCTCTTCTAATCAAATTCCAAAATTTAAAGTAAGGCTTCTCAATCTTACCCTATAACTACTGACATTTTGGATTGGATACTCCTTGGAGGTTGTAGCTACA